AACAGCTGAACCCCTGACTAATTACCTGACAGCTGAATCCCTGACTAATTACCTAACAACTGAAGCCCTGACTAATTACCTAACAGCTGAAGCCCTGACTATATTACCTAACAGCTGTAGCCCTACTAGAGTTCTAGGAAGACATTACCTAACAACTGTATCCCTGACTAGAGTCCTAGGTAGACATTAACTAACAGATGTTTCCCTGACTAATTTCCTAACAGCTGTAGCCCTACTAGAGTCCTAGGTAGAATTTTCTTACAGCTGTAGCCCTGACTAGAGTCCTAGGTAGAAATTAACTCACAGCTGTAGCCCTACTAGAGTCCTAGGTAGACATTACCTAGCAGCTGTAGCCCTGACTAGAGTCCTAGGTAGACATTAACTAACACCTGTTTCCCTGACTAATAACCTAACAGCTGTAGCCCTACTAGAGTCCAAGGTAGACATTACCTTACACCTGTAGCCCTACTAGAGTCCTAGGTAGACATTACCTAACACCTGTAGCCCTGACTAGAGTCCTAGGTAGACATTACCTAACAGCTGTAGCCTTGAATAGTTACCTAACAGCTGTAGCCCTACTAGAGTCCTAGGTAGACATTACCTAGCAGCTGTAGCCCTGACTGAAGTCCTAGTAAGACATTACCTAACAGTTGTAGCCCTGACTAGACTCCTAGGTAGACATTACCTAACAGCTGTAGCCTTGACTTTTTACCTAACTGCTGTAGCCCTGACTAATAACCTAACAGCTGAACCCCTGACTAATTACGAAACAGCTGTAGCCCTGACTAATTGCCTAACAACTGAAGCCCTGACTAATTATCTAACAGCTGTAGCCCTGACTAATTACCTCACAGCTCTAGCCCTGACTAATTACTGAACAGCTGAAGCCCTGACTAATTATCTTACAGCTGAATCCCTGACTAATTACCTAACAACTGGGGCCCTGACTAATTACCGAACAGCTGAAGCCCTGACTAAAACTCTAGGTAGAAATTACCTTACAGCTGTAGCCCTGACTAATCACCTAACAGCTGAAGCCCTGATTAGAATTCTAGGTCGAAATTACCTAACACCTGAAGCACTGATTGGTTACCTAACAGCTGAAGCCCTGAATAATTACCTAACAGCTGAAGCCCTGACTAAAACTCTAGGTAGAAATTACCTTACAGCTGTAGCCCTGACTAATCACCTAACAGCTGAAGCCCTGACTTAATTACCTAACAGCTGAAGCCCTCAATAATTACCTAACAGATAAAGCCTTGACTAATTACCTAACAGCTGTAGCCCTGACTAAAACTGTAGGTAGAAATAACCGAACAACTGAACCCCTGACTAATTACCTAACAGCTGAATCCCTGACTAATTACCTAACAACTGGGGCCCTGACTAATTACCGAACAGCTGAAGCCCTGACTATATTACCTAACAGCTTTAGTCCTACTAGAGTCCTAGGTAGACATTACCTTACAGCTGTAGCCCTGAATTACCTAACAGCTAAATCCCTGACTAATTACCGAACAGCTGAAGCCCTGACTAATTATCTTACCGCTTACGCCCTTATTAGAGTCCTAGGTAGACATTAGAACAGCTGAACCCCTGACTAATAACCTAACAGCTGAACCCCTGACTAATTACCTAATAGCTGAACCGCTGACTAATTACTTAACAGCAGAAGCCCTGACTAATTATCTAACAGCTGTAGCCCTGAATTACCTAACAGCTGTAGCCCTGACTTGAGTCCTAGGTAGACATTCCCTTACAGCTGGAGCCCTGACTAGAGTCCTAGGTGGACATTACCTAACAGGTGTATCCCTGACTAATTACCCCACAGCTTTAGCCCTGACTAATTACATCACAGCTCTAGCCCTGTCTAATTACCTAACAGCTAAATCCCTGACTAATTACCGAACAGCTGAAGCCCTCAATAATTACCTAATAGATAAAGTTCTGACTAATTACCTACGAAAAAGCTGTAGCCCTGACTAAAAACCTAACAGCTGAACCCCTGACTAATTCCCTCACAGCTGTAGCCCTGACTTGAGTCCTAGGTAGACATTCCCTTACAGCTGGAGCCCTGACTAGAGTCCTAGGTGGACATTACCTAACAGGTGTATCCCTGACTAATTACCGAACAGCTGAAGCCCTCAATAATTACCTAATAGATAAAGTTCTGACTAATTACCTACGAAAAAGCTGTAGCCCTGACTCGAGTCCTAGGTAGTCATTACCTAACAGTTGTAGCCCTGACTAAAAACCTAACAGCTGAACCCCTGACTAATAACCTAACAGCTAAACCCCTCACTAATAACCTAACAGCTAAACCCCTCACTAATAACCTAACAGCTGAACCCCTGACTAATTACCTAACAGCTGTAGCCCTACTAGAGTCCTAGGTAGACATTACCTAGCAGCTGTAACCCTGACTAAAGTCCTAGTAAGACATTACCTAACAGTTGTAGCCCTGACTAATTACCTCACAGCTCTAGCCCTGACTAATTACCTCACAGCTGTAGCCCTGACTAATTACCTAACAATTGAAGCCCTGACTAATTACCTAACAGCTGTAGCCCTGACTAATTACCTCACAGCTCTAGCCCTGACTAATTACCTAACAGCTGAATCCCTGACAAATTACCTAACAGCTAAAGCTCTGACTAATAACCTTACAGCTGAAGCCCTGACTAATTATCTAACAGCTGACGCCCTTACTAATTACCTAACAGCTGAAGCCCTGACTAATTATCTAACTGCTGACGCCCTGATTAGAATTCTAGGTAGAAATTACCTAACATTTGAAGCCCTGACTAGAACTCTAGGTAGAAATTACCTAACAGCTGAAGCCCTGATTAGAATTCTAGGTAGAAATTATCTAACAGTTGAAGCCCTGAATAGAACTCCAGGTAGAAATTACCTAACAACTGTAGTCCTGACTAATTACCTAACAGCTGAAGCCTGGACTAATTACCTAACTGCTGAAGCCCTGATTAGAATTCTAGGTAGAAATTACCTTACAGTTGAAGCCCCGAATAGAACTCTAGGTAGAAATTACCTAACAACTGTAGCCCTGACTAATTACCTAACAGCTGTAGTCATGACTAATAACCTAACAGTTGTAGCCCTGACTAGAGCTCTAGGTAGAAATTACCTAACAGCTGAAGCACTGACTAATTACTGTACAGCTGAAGCCCGGACTAATTACCTAACAGCTGAATCCCTGACTAATTACCTCACAGCTGTAGCCCTGGCTTAATTACCTAACCGCTGAAGCCCTGACTATATTACCTAACAGCTCTAGCACTGACTAATTACCTAACAGCTGAAGCCCTGACTAATTACCTAAAGGCTGTAGTCCTGACTAGAGTCCTAGGTAGACATTTCCTAACAGCTGTAGCCCTGACTAGAGTCCTAGGTAGACATTACCTAACAGCTGTAGCCCTGACTAGAGTCCTAGGTAGACATTACCTAACAGCTGTAGCCCTGACTACTTACCTAACATCTGAAGCCCTGACTAATTACCTAGCAACTGAAGCCCTGACTAGAGCTCTAGGTAGAAATTACCTAACAGCTGTAGCCCTGACTAATTACCTAACAATTGAAGCCCTGACTAATTACCTAACAGCTGTAGCCCTGACTAGAGTCATAGGTAGACATTACCTAACAGCTGTAGCCCTGACTACTTACCTAACACCTGAAGCCCTGACTAATTACCTAGCAACTGAAGCCCTGACTAGAGCTCTGGGTAGAAATTACCTAACAGCTGTAGCCCTGACTAATTACCTAACAGCTGGAGCCCTGACTAGAGTCCTAGGTAGACATTGCCTAACAGCTGTAGCCCTGACTAGAGTCCTGGGTAGACATTACCTAACAGCTGTAGCCCTGACTACTTACCTAACAGCTGTAGCCCTGACTAATTACCTAACAGCTGGAGCCCTGACTAGAGTCCTAGGTAGACATTGCCTAACAGCTGTAGCCCTGACTAGAGTCCTGGGTAGACATTACCTAACAGCTGTAGCCCTACTAGAGTCCTAGGTAGACATTACCTAACAGCTGTAGGCCTGACTAGAGTCCTAGGTAGACATTACCTTACAGCTGTAGCCCTGACTAGAGTCCTAGGTAGACATTACCTAACAGCTGTAGCCCTGACTACTTACCTAACAGCTGTAGCCCTGACTAATTACCTAACAGCTGGAGCCCTGACTAGAGTCCTAGGTAGACATTGCCTAACAGCTGTAGCCCTGACTAGAGTCCTAGGTAGACATTGCCTAACAGCTGTAGCCCTGACTAGAGTCCTAGGTAGACATTGCCTAACAGCTGTAGCCCTGACTAGAGTCCTGGGTAGACATTACCTAACAGCTGTAGCCCTGACTAGAGTCCTGGGTAGACATTACCTAACAGCTGTAGCCCTGACTACTTACCTAACAACTGAAGCCCTGACTAATTACCTAACAGCTGAAGCCCTGACTATATTACCTAACAGCTGTAGCCCTACTAGAGTCCTAGGTAGACATTACCTAACAGCTTAAGCCCTACAAGAGTCCTAGGTAGACATTACCTTACAGCTGTAGCCCTGACTAGAGTCCTAGGTAGACATTACCTTACAGCTGTAGCCCTGACTAGAGTCCTAGGTAGACATTACCTTACAGCTGTAGCCCTGACTAGAGTCCTAGGTAGACATTACCTAACAGCTTAAGCCCTACAAGAGTCCTAGGTAGACATTACCTTACAGCTGTAGCCCTGACTAGAGTCCTAGGTAGACATTGCCTAACAGCTGTAGCCCTGACTAGAGTCCTAGGTAGACATTACCTAACAGCTTAAGCCCTACAAGAGTCCTAGGTAGACATTACCTTACAGCTGTAGCCCTGACTAGAGTCCTAGGTAGACATTGCCTAACAGCTGTAGCCCTGACTAGAGTCCTGGGTAGACATTACCTAACAGCTGTAGCCCTGACTAGAGTCCTAGGTAGACATTACCTAACAGCTGTAGCCCTACTAGAGTCCTACCTGTAAATGTCATGTTATGTCTGACAAATTTCTGTAGAGTGTTGATGACCTTGTACATCCGATAACTCATCGTCCGGGCTGCACACCTGTGGCAAATATAATAGTAATAATGCCAACGTGTAATACCAGTTACACAAGGTAATACAACCAGAATGTATAGAGGCACTTTCTAATAGCACTCATCACTGCGACAGAGCACCTATCCTTGCACGATGAAATTGATAAAGCATCTACCATTGTTACAGATAACTTGTTAACCATACCGGACATTGCATGGACACTTCTGCTATCACCACCTAATGTGAGTGACTACTTATGTACGTACCTTAGATGTAAAGGGATACTTCCTTATAGTACCTTCTTTGCGTTCCTTCCAAATTAGCATATAAATATATTATAATGTATTAGTGAAATGAAAAATTGATAAAAGACACAACTTATATACCAAACAAAAATGTCAAGCTGTGCTACTTCTAGACCTCACTAGAGTAATGAGTGAGTTCTAGACTTATTCCTTGACTGAATTCTCCCTGGGAGTTCTAAATCCACAAAGAGTGACTCATAGATAGTTGAATATATAATAAAATATCATGAATATTCTATGACAATATTGTATGGTATATCAATATTCACATTATAATACGTTAAGAATATAATTATACAACTGCTTGTTATTAATTACAAATACAAGTCCATGTTGATTTAAGGAGCGATTTTATCATATTCATACTGTGTTTATAGTAAGTGCTTACTGATATTTATAACCATGTTATAACCATTGCTGTTCATGTTTACAATATAGATTATTAGTACATTATAATATAAGTTGATATAGATAATAATAGTTATATAAAGGATTTTTTACTGGTTTCATTGTCACATTGGGTACAACCATTTAGTAAAGTATGTAGAGTATAGTAAGAGTGATTATCATTGAGTAGAGTAGCCGAGAGTACTTGTCTGTGATGGTTGTATCTGGCACAGTCATTGAAGTAATGATCACTTGTTTCCTGTATATAACCACACTCACATCGAGCAGATTCTAATAGATGGTCATTAAATATTTCTAATTTGACATAGTATAATATTGATTTTTCAATAATATAATAATAATATACAACATTTATATAGCGCCCTATGTAATTTG